AAATTGTGTTGAATCTTGGGAGAAATTAAATTCGGTTTAAAATTTCAGCAGATTCTAATTTTGGTCTTGTGTGGTTTTAGTAGTTGTGTTCCCTTTCCTGTGTAGCGTTTGAGAAGGGTAAGGTTTCAAAGACTGATTAAAAGTGGCAATGGGAGTTTGTTACAGAGAGATGCAACATGTTTCCTAAATATGAAGCCTCTTGTAAAAGCAGCGCTGAGAGAAATGAGGTTATATACATCTCTCTGACACGTTATATACAGCTGTTTCTATTCAGCCTTAAATCGCTGTTCATTAGTGCATCACTTAGCTGAGCAAGAGCCCACTGGGGTATGCAAAATGCCTCCTGCAGCTACTCAAGTGCCTGTGAAGGGTTGTGCCTTGCTAAGTGAGTTCAAGATTTGTCAGAGGTTTTGCAGGCTGCAGTGGCTTTTAGGAATGGTCTGAAAGAGATAACCAGATGCAGCTTTGTTCTTGGAGAGCTACAGGGTTTCCACGCTAAAGTTCCCTTGCTACTTGCTAAGAGATGACTACAGTTATCAACTGACTTGCAGATAAGGCACCAAAAAAAAAATCAAAGCTATTGTTGGTACCTTTCTAGATGCTGTTAGTATTTGCAGATACCATCATGGTGTTGGGGCACAACGTTAAGACAAACTATACCCTTCTTTGCTGTACCATCCCTCAAACGATCACACTGGTACTTAAAAAAGCTCCAAAAAGAAGGCACATCTGCTTCGTGGGTTGGGTGGGCCTAAGCCTTTCTTAGTTACTAGAATTACATGTTTCAACCCACAACATGGAAACAGACTCCAATGAACAGGCGAAAGGGGTCTGGAGAGGGGCTCAGGTTTGATCTGGGTGCAGAAGTGGTGTAGTTTGAAGCACAAACTAAAGCGTTCCAGCTGCGAGTCAAACCCAGGAATGCATCGTGCAAGGTCTTATTTTTCTGTAGGGCTAAGTAACATGAGCATTCAAATTATTCACTGCCTTTGAAGCCTGTGAAATCCATAATGGCCACAAAGTGAACATGTAGCAACTACATTTCAATTACCAAAGGCTGGTCAAGTACCTGGCTTTATTCTCTCCAGTAACAAAACTCCCATCAACTTCAAAGGGGTTGGGATTTACTCCACAGTGCAAATGCTGGGTCCAATGAAATCGGAGATGTAACTCTGGGACGAGGTATTTTAGCTTCTGAAGGTGCAGACGGATGGGCAGGATCGAGCTCTGATGCTGAGGGGAGCTATACAATCTGCATTTTTTCTGCATCTTCTGGTTAATAAATTGAGGATGATGGCCTGACTGACAATCTGCCCCAGAACTGCATGGTTACTTTTTGAAAATACCCAAGTTCCTATCAGTTGCAATAGGAGTTAGGTATGCAACCTGCTTAACTGCTGTTAGATATCCCACTACATACTTGTGTGTCTCTTCAGCACTCAAGTCCCTTTGCAATTCTTGCTCTGGCCATTGCTTACAACAATAGCGAAGAGTCTGAGGGTAATGGCTATTTCTTTTGCAAAGTAGGTCACAAACTATTTCATGATTCCACTGTAAAAGTATCAGAGTTCATTTTTCTCAGACTCATATCTATGAGCTTTATTTTGACACGTTCCCTGCATAGGTGCCCGAGATAAATGACCTTCAACACCTCATAGCAAGCCTTGTGCCCTGTGATGTGCACTCCCTAGCACTGGAGTCTGCTTTGCCTTCCCACAGCACCCAGGAGGGAGGGGACGGAGGCTTGAGCAGCACCCGGCTCCCTGATGGCAACCTTCAGTTCCCACTAGCAGGGTTTGTGACCACAAACAGGGACGTTATGTCCTGCTGCTCAGCACCCTTCTCAAGCCAGTCGCTGGCCTTATAGAACCCTTTCCCAGGCTTTTGGGTGAGTGAACCATGAAGACCAAACAGTAGTTGGACATGAGTCACTGGACTTTAAGTTATGCACACGAAAGCTTTGAGACACGTTACATTAGTCAAAACATCAACTGTTTTCACAGTGTTTATGGTATTAGAAACATTTTTGTTCATGAATGTACTTGTTTGCTTAAAGTGAGTAACTGATGCTTTGTGCCTAAAGAATGCTGTACATGCCTTTTTATAAAAGAGATGTTGCCAGTTTGAAAAGCTTGCCTTGCAATGAATTCATAGGAAAGGCCAGAAAGAATATTTGATCATTTAGCCTGGTTTCCTATAAACACCTGTAATAATACCTTCGGCTTGAAAGAGATCTAATTTCTATTAGTCAAAGTCCAGAGTGGCATCCCATCTGCTACGAAGGACAGAGCTGGGCTCTTGTTTTTACTGCTGGGGTTGTTAGGTGTCCGTCTGCCCACAACTGAGCAGGCGGATGGAGGAGAGCTTCCACCCTGCATTCAAATGTCGGTACTGTTGAGGGGCAGGATTTCAGAAATAGTCTTCTCTGGGTGCAGCTCTTTGTCTGGAAAGACCTATGCCTGTATTTTTCACCGACAATGAACTGCAGACAAGAGATGTTGCTGCTTAGATACCTGCTAACCTGCCTGAACTCGTAAAGCAAGTCAGTAATTGTTGAACTGCTTGTACTTATGGTTTATTTGAACTAAGGGCACACCATCACACCCTCCAAACTGGAGGCTCATCTGAGGTTTAACTGAAAATCAAGCCTTCAGCATACCCAATGGTCTCGTCGCCCTCAAAGGAAAAAATCTCCAGTCAGCCTCAGCTTGGGCTTTCCAGCTGTAGCCTGTGCTGATTTTGTGGCCCTAGAAGCTGTCCTGATCTCTGCTGGGTGTTGCTGTGTTACGAAGGAGCGGTGATGCTGTGGCTGCCTCTGGGGAGCCGGGCACTGAGCTCCTGTGCCTTGGTGCATTTAAACAGGAGCTGCACATCACAGCGGGGGCACAGGCCAGAATACCTGGTGTTTCAGATCCCGAAAGGCAATTCCAGCAATTTCCTGGGAGATCCCACTGCACTTGTCTAATCATAAGGGCACAGGGAGAGGGAAAACCATTTGGGGTTTTGTTGGCCATTGTACCTGCCTTGCTCTAGGGAGAGGAATCTACAAAGCCGAACACGACCAAAGGTTTTCTTGCCTGCGTTGGGGGGAGGGTTTGGCTTTGTTTTGCTCTTGTTGCTAACAACGTCAGATGGGTCTGACTTTCCATCCTGCTCGGGATGAGACAAACAGCCAAGGAAGCATCAAAGTGAAGGGGTGGGTTTTGATCAACATTGGAGAGAGTTTGTTTTCTTTCTCCACTTGCCCAGTGACACACTGACTTGGATGACTGGTCTGTGACAGAGCCGGTTGGAAAATGTCAGTGGAAAAACGCAGAAAAAGAGCAAATATTTTTACAAACGTTAGTGACAATATTTTTACCTTTGGTCAATCCAAACCAACAGGAATATTTTTTCAGGACAAACTGTTCAAAACTCACCATTGCGTGCGCCAAAACGTATACAAAGGGTGAATATGCATGAACACCCATTAGAAAAAGTGTTCCTGTGGTGAATATGACGCAGTAAAATTGCATCTGATCTTGTAGCTGGAAGATCTGTATAATTAGCAAGATTCCTCACCTCTTCCAGCCAGTGGTTCTGGTTCATGTATATGCCTGCCCTTTGCATATATTTTTTCCTTTAGGAATAAGAATTTGGGAAGGAGACAGTTTGCAGAAACACTTGATGCTCCAAGCAGTTGTACACCCGTAACTGTCCCCAGTGGGTACCTTGCAGCCCTCTCTAAACATAGTTTTAACAAACCCGTGGATGTATTGTCTTAAAATTAAGGTAATAAATGTCATCCTAACTCTGTCAGTAAGTTTTCCAGTGGGCACCTACCTCACTCATCAGGATCTGAAGGATAACTTCCCTGGCATCTGATGAGGAGGGACTGTGTCATTAGAAATGCCAAGAGAACCATGAGTTTTGACCCATAAAATTGGAATTTCAGACGTGGAAGAAAACACACCCATATTTAAATACTTTTACCGTACTGCAAAGCCGGTAGAAATTCTCACCATTTAAAAACGTTGATAAGGTTTCCTGTCATATTTTAATGGATCAAAAAATGCAAAACATTTTTTCTGCATTTTTATTAGCTCTTATAAAAATATAAAGCCCCCTTTTTAAATCCCTAGTGTTTCTCTTTTCATAAACCTAAATTAGGTCTGTAGTATTATTACCCCATGTTTAGTAGTCCTAGAGAACAACTTCTGACTAGCATGTGACTGCAAATACTTTTCACGTAAATAAATGCAATTTCACTTTTGGTAGGATTTGTATGTAAAAGAAATATGTGCAAATGAAACTAAGTGCCTTTGATAAATGGTTGGGGATTGCTGATTAATTGGAACTAAAAACAGATGAGAAAATTGAACATATGTTCTTATTCAAGTTCCCTGGAGGATTTGTCAGGGAGCTTGGCATACATTAATAATTGCTTGGAATGGATTTAATAGCTCATCTTGTAGTTTTGCACACACAAAACAATCAGTCAATATAAAAAGCATGGTGTCATCTGTCTTTGTTAATTAGGGATCTCAAACGCCTTCGGTAATAAAGGCTAGTAATTAAGCTACAATTAGAAAGGAAGCATTCGGATGTGGGTTTGCCACCTCAGGATCCTCAAGCGGCAGGAGGAAGAGGGTAGGTCTTCCAGAAATCTTGAAATACTCTGAGTTTATGATCTTTTCCTGCACTAGCACACAGCCGGCCTTGTTTGCTCCTCAGCTACCGGCTGCTCCCAGGGATGAGAGCGACCGTGCTGGGGATGCTCCCTGGGGCACGCGGAGGCTCACGGGGCACCCTCTCCCCATGCCCTCGGTGGCTGACCAGACATGGCAGCTACATGCCCACGGCATTAGCATTTCCCAAGATGTCACTGTACAGCCCTGATGCCTAAGCCCAGCTCTTCAGGCACATTTCATGGCACCGCTTTCTAAAAATATTGGACATAACTTTTTGAAGGAACGTACTGTGCTTGCGCTTTCATTGGGATTTGCCTGTGGGTCACTCACCTTCCCGGGTGCTCCTGGAGTACCTGGTAGACACTAATCTGGAACGTTTCATTATCGAAGCGTTCACGGATGTAATCCTTATATATCCTGAACTCGGCAGCCGTCACCGCTTCCCCCTCTGGGATTCTGGAGAGATCAAACCTGAACTCTCGGTAGTGGCAGCGCTGATGGTGAAACTCTCTGTCATGCTCCACTGAAACAGAAAAACAGCCCATTAGCCACCTGCTTTGTTCCCTTTCCCCTTGCCATCAAACAAGCTTGCAAGTTGCCACAACAGAAAAGGGCAAGAATATCTGATTGCAGCATCTCATGCTGTCGTTCGGTTCATTAAAGCACGTAGGAAATACATGACTCTATCTGGGCTATTATAAGCATAGATGTGTTTATCAGACTCTCTTTGAAACAGTTTTACAGCTGGCTGGTACAGGGTGTGGGTGACCGTTGTGTTTTAATGATTTTTGGCAGCTTTGCGCTTGACAAGTGACTCTGGACATTTGCCACCGATAACGACCAAGCTGCTGTGGGAAGTTGCTGAAAGAAACAGATGGGGCTTTTCAGGAGTGCTGGTTCTTGGCCTGACTCTGCTTCGGCAAATTACAGGCACGCACACCTACATACCCACACACACATATACACAAATTCCAGTCCTTGAGGCTTTTCTTGCCAGTGACCCACATATTCAGTGCCAGCTGAATTCATTACAAACTCACAGCCCCACTCCGAAGGCTCAAAGCTTTCATTTTAAAACATCTTTAGTGATCGGGACTGTGAAGTAAATGTTCAAAACAAGGACCTTCTTCCAACTCCCAACCCTGACCATGAACAAGTGCCAGAGTCCTCCCAAGACAGTGTTAGGACGGTGCGTTATCCCATCGAGTGACGGCTCTGCCTGTCTTCTGATGGTCTTGTGGCTTGTGGATATTGGAGCTGAGGGTCCGTGATGTGAGGAAACAAAGATTTTGAGACTTGTCCTAGAGCAAGGGAGAGGAGAGGTGTCCGTGCCCCATCCCAGCACATGAAGGGAAGCGCCCTTCTTGGAATGAATTCCAAATTAAAGAGATAAGTAGGACAAATGAAAATGGGGAAATAGAGGTATAAAGGATGAACTGACTCGCCAAAGGTCACATGGGCTGACATTTTAAGAGCGGAGGTTTGAACCAGGGACTTCCCATATGTCCCAGTCCCGTCGTCTGCCACTTGACCTCCCTGCAGCTCGACTGCACAATTCAAGTAGTTAGCTCTGAGATTTTCTTGGCAAAGAATGTGTGTCTTTCTACAGGCCTGATTCTCTTCTGGCAGCAGTAAATCCATTGTGTAAATCCATTGACTTAAATGGAATTACTCCTGAAAAAGAGGAGTTTCAAGCCCAAGTCTGGAAAGTGCTATTTAAATTTACAGTGCTGCATGGTACAAATGCATATCAGCACTCAGAAGGGCCTCCCCTGTGGCGGGGATGGAGCGTGGGGAGCCTCCGGGAACCGGGCTGCGTCCAAGCACTTGCACAGAGCAGGTTCAGCGCTGCTTTGCTGGCCAAGCTTCAGCAGCTGGCCACGGGCTCTTCCTCCTCCCGCACATTGCTTCTGCAAGGAGTCCAGGGCTCACAGTTTGCCACTGTGTGATTGCTGTTCGGGGAAATACTTCAGCGCTCTTACTTATTAGTAAGAGCTGGGATTCGTCTTAGAGGAGTTTTTTAGGTATGAAACCCCTAAACTTTCCAAGACAAAGTCGATTCAGCTCAGCAAATGGTTTTTTTTATAGGTTGAGCAGTCTTAGCATGCGCTGAAGAACAAAGTTACAGTTTGCACCTCTGGCTGTAACATCTCACACGGCCTCAGGAAGATCACTCAGTCCCTCATAGCCTGAGGTAGGGGAATATTGTGAATATTCACCAGTGTTTGTAAAACACTTGGCAGGCTAAAACTGCCCTGTAAGTGCTAGCAACACTACTAAATGTGCCTCAATCCCTTTCCTCCAAAGTACTCTCAGCAGAGTAAGATATAAAGAGTATGATTTCACTCTCGAAGGAATTTGTCTGCAGCTAAATTATAGAGGGGAGGAAAACATATTTTAATATGGAATAGCTCCTTTAACCACAACTATTGAGAAGAAATATAATGTTGTGTGGTTTTAGTTATATTAGGGATAACATCACCAGCAGGGTGTATTATAGAGAGGTCTAGCAGTAGGATGTACCAATATGATTAGCTCCTGAAGACACGGGAAGGATGAATTTTCACAGGAAGGTGGGTGCACCTTTTCAGCGTACATATGTGATGACAGCTACATCGGCCAACACTGGTCTTTAGCTGCACTTCATACAGAAAGTCTGACAACAAACACATGAAGATGAAACTTTTTCGGGTGCTGCTAGAGTTCACAGTGATTCCCACTGCAGGGCCCTAGAAAAAATGTGTCATATTAGTATGAAAAATTAACGGCCAGGGTCATAAAATAAAGAGCCCTGAAGTTTGAACTTTCCCATGCTTTGCAGATGTTTGGATATAGGGTTTTGGCCTGAGCCATCTTTAGTGTTAAAGCAAACATTCCTGTGGCTATAGTCATTAAGATCATGAAAATATGTGGATATGTAACTGAAGAAAGAATCCCAAGAAACCCTTCAACTCAGTGTTTATTGTTTTTCCCCTTTTTCTTTGCACTCTGGACCTATCTGCTGACCCAGAAGTAACAAATCCTTTCAGAACTAATTTATGAGAAACACTGACCCTGAATCAACATCTGTTAGATGACTGCAGTAAATCTTATTACACAATTAAACACCAAAATCTATGTTAAAATAACGTTAAGGGTCTGACTCGAACTCATAAAAGCAAGATTCTTCATTATGAAGGCTGAAATCCTATCCTTAATTCATGCTGCTGTGCACTGGTATTTGCGAACATATGGTACAGTATATATGATCGTGCACTTTTTGTAGACCCCAGTAATACCTTAAGCACAACAGCATGAGGTAAGCAGGGGAGTGCTCAAGGACTCTGAGCTTCCTGGGTTTGATGGGTGTTAGTCAGACCTTTGACAATACTGAACTGGGTCGTTTCCAATTAATTGCCTGAGGAGTCTGAACGGGGAAAGGGGGGGGTGTTTAAAAAAAAAAAAAAGAGGGGAGGGAAGAGTGGTATTTTAAGTGTTCACCGAAACAGTCAAGAGAATTGCTACAGCTCTTTGAATATGAACAGTTTCTCCATTAGGTCTATAAAATCCATGATCCCTATTGACACAACATACCATAATGAGAACCTTTTGGTCACTCTTGAAGGACGTAATCTCAGCTGTTTGTCAGCCATTATGTGTTAAATGCTGCCCTAAAAATCATCAAGCGATATGAATATTTGCCGGGTATATTTAATAGCCCTTCTGCCCAAAGAACTTGAACACATGTTTGTCCCACAAATCACTACTACCCAAAGGCTTTTGGTGAATGGTTTTAGCCCAGTTCCTAATTTCAAACATTGGAAATTCCAGCTCAGAAACTGTCACAATTCAAACGCATTGGCAAGGCAGCTGCTTGGAGAGGAAGCCAAAGCTCTGGATGTGCAATCAAAGGTTGTAAAATATGAAAAGGAAGAACACCCTTGAAAAATAATTCTGCTCTGAAACAGCCTGTGTGCCACAGCTGTGGGAAAACAGTGGATTTTCTCTCCTAAAGAAACAGTCCAAAGTCACTCACAGGTGATGCATGTGTAAATGCGCACCTCTCTTCGTTTCTAGAAGTGGTATCGCATTTTGGAGGCACAACTACTGTAGACAAATTATGACCTGATTTAACACATGGCTCAAAATCTGCTGGCGCAAAATAACTCTTGGGCATGGTGAGTGTGGCAGTTAATCGTAGCTACGGTAGATGGGGATCATCAGACACTCCCTTTGGCACAGTCCTTTGGGAAAGGAAAGGTTGAGACAATGGGACTTGGGAGCTGTAGGATGGAGGCGGCCAACAGACTCATGGGAAAATAAGCAAGAGAGCAAAAAGTGTGCAGGACAATTAAGGTGATCCAACCAAAACAAGCACATATTTTAGTTAGTGGTTATCAGTAAGTTTGCCACACCTCTGTTGCAAACATGCAAGTAAGCTCAGCATCTTTGAAAGTCTGGCCTTGACTATCTGTCCACAATCTGAATGCTGCACAGACTGCACTCGTCTATCTGATACAGATAGGGCTTGGATCTCTCTGAAGTCTTTTGTCTTTCCAAACCGACTCTGTTGTGGCATTATGGTGATGCAAGAGGAGACAGAATGGCATGGTTGCAACAACAGGGATGGTTAAAAGAAAACAGGATGGATACATGTGCTCAGGTGTGAAGTAGCCAGGTATCAGATCCAAAAATATGGGAAAGCTGGAGATAAAATGGCAACAAATACTTGGTACTTGTTTTGACATGTCCTGAAGTGTACTCTTCAGGTACAAAACTTGAAAACATTAAGGTGCAGGGATGAAAAAGTGTAGTTGTTGACATCTAGAAGTTGGAGCAATACAGTTGAAACCAGTATTCAAAAATAATATTGGACAGAAAAGCCTGCGATCCTGGTTTAACACCCCAGGGTACCCAAACTTCTAACGCAAATGACATATCAGCATAAAGCTGGGAAACTTGAACTGATCCCATGTTTGGTCATATTCACAGCAAAATATGTTGAGACTAGAAATGAGAGCCCAAACTATTTTCAGCTTCTTTGTAAATCACTACTGGTAAGTGAAAAGCCAACCTGAGCTGATTCTGTAAACTCTGGGTGGACCACTGGTTTTGTAATACGGATTGATGGTAGGCAAGGCATGATACATGACAGTGAAGATTATGGTGAGACGTGGCTTGCAGTAGTTACTGTTTCTCTCTACACATACCAAAGAAACCATACCGTTGTAGCCTGAGTACCGAGCGCAGTAGCACAATGTCAATCACTAACGCTATGTGTCAAGCAAAGAACCAGTGAATCACAGCAATCGTTTTCCAAGCATGACTGTGTTAAGAAATAATTATTACAGAAGCATTAATGAGCTAATCCGAACCCCAGGGAAGTCAACAGAAATATTTCCACTAATTTCAATGGTTTTCATGAGAGGCCTTACTTTTGCTGATTTACCTACCTAAGTATTTTTACGCTCTTGTTTTCTGGAGATGTAAAAAATCTCTTTTTCACAAGCAAAGTAAACACCAGATTAATAGATTCTGTGCTCAGCCTGCCAAACTGGAAAAGCTTTGGTAATTCCATACCTCCTCCTCCCTGGCACATGTGGGTGATGCACTTGGAATATATTTTGAGTATTTAAACAAGTAAAAACTTAAATTTTCCTGTTAACACTTTCACCTGATAATACGTTAATTGTTTTTATAAGGCACTTTAAGAGTAGTTATCTCATTTATTGTAGTGCTCACAACAATTAAGAGTGCTACTTGTTTCTCATTTACAGTGAAAAAAAGCACCAAAAGGAATGTGCAGTAGGGTGTCTGTAACTTCTTTACTCCCAAAAAAGGCCAGGAGGGATTTGTAAAGGACTTTAATCTCAAATAGATTAAAGGTCCTGAATTCCTGAGACTGAAAGATAAGTCAAAGGAAAATAGATTCCAAAAGACAACACCCCCTTGCCTCAGCCTCTCAGCCGGGCGGGAGACTCGACTGCAGAGCCATCAGCAGTTGCCTGCAAAACCTCTCAGAGATTTGGATGCCAAAAAAAATCTGCCTCACTCCAGCATCAAGGCCTAACAGGTTTTCAGAGTCTACCTGTGCCTGCCTGGCCCCAGGGACTGAAGTCAGGTAGGTGAGTTTAGTGGGCAGGAAAAGTCTTTATCTGCTTTGCCTCCAATAGCTGCAGAGCTGCAGAAAATGAGCGCTATGTCTTCAGCGATGGCTGAGGGCTGGCTGGCTTGTCCAGTGAGCCGGTGGATTTTAGCCTTGGTGTTCTCATGAAAGGGCAAACTACACTTTGAGTTACACTGGTTTTACCCAGCAGCGCAAAATCTTGTATAAATTTTCCTAAAAAAATTGTCTTTAATTCCCTCCATCGCCGCCCCTAGAGATCCAAGCCAAAACTTCAGAACCTCTCTTGCAGCATTTCAGTGCAGAGCACGAGATTCCTAAAAAACAGCTGCCCTGGGACCACCAGCTCTGCCTGGGGTCCCCAAGCATTTTTAGCCTACTTACATTACTGCTTTCAAAGGGAAGGTCCACTTGTATCTACTGCTTCACCCTGCTGTCTCCCTTGGGAAATGGATTCTACTGGAAAATAATTTTCCCTTCTCCAGCTGAGTTTTCAGGTGGCTCCCGTCCTCACCCGCTCACCGCGGTGCCCCAAGAGCAGCGGTGGCAGGAGAAGGACCAGGGACCTCCCTGCACAGCAGGAGGGAGGGCAGGGCCCCCCCTCGGCCTCCGGGCTTGCAGCAGTTGTGAAACTGCACTGTAAATTTTCAGGATGCCAAATTTGAGACCTCTTGATGGGATTCTAATTAACAGGCATTAAGTGTTCCCTCTATAAATTGCACTTCTTTGTCTCTAAATTGGTGGATAAACCATGTCACTTAGGAAATATAGGCCTTTTCTCCTTATGGTAGTGAGGTTCAAGAAGGAGGAAACCAATTAGGGGAAGGATCCAGCAGTCTCTGCAGCTGAAAGAGCCCACTGGGCTCAGTGGGATTCCTGATTGAGCAAGAAGTGCAAGGTCAGTCCTTATATTTTTCTGAGGAAAAGGGGAAGTATAATAAAGATTGCAATAATGTCATGCCAGGCCACGGCCTGCTAAAGCACATGTTTCCCTCCTCATTGTGCTTGACAGCAAGAGTTACAGGGGCAGTGGCAGTAAATTTATAATGGCAAGAATTTGGGAATGCAAAGTTCTGTAATTGGTTTTCATTTGCTTCATCCTCTCGGCTACAAGATTTACATGCTGACATTAGGCAACTAAAGCAGCATGTTAAAGAAATATTTGAAGAAATTGCTGAAGAATATACATTGGGAGTCCTATAAATGGAGTAGAGCAAATGGACTGGGTTGTATGATGGGATTATTTTTTTTTTTAAGAGTAATTAAAACCAGTACCTGGAGGGCATTTTTACACTGGATAGTTGCAGTTTTCCAACTCATCTAAGAGCTACTGCAGGTTTTTGGAGAAACCTAAGGAAAAACAAATGCATGCTTGATTTGGGTCTGCAAGGTGAGCTTACTAGAAAAATAGTCTGTGGTTTTTCTGTAACTCGTTAATGCATCCCATCACCAGGGACTGCCACCATCCTGCCACTCCTAAAACCATAGTCAGTCCTTCAGCCACAGGCCCAAGACCCCCAGGTGTTCAGGAGGGTCTGGGCTCATCTGCCGAAGCTCTGTCCTCATGGCCTTGTCCCCGTCTGCCCTTTGCAGAAGGAGCTGCTCTGAGCCAAGGCAGCACTCAGCAGAAGGGAACCTGCAACCAGACGCTGGGGGCTCATGTACCCATTTTACAGCCAGGTAAAGGGAGGTGAAGGTGATAAGCTATTCCTTGCATGTTAAATTCAATGTGTGGCAGGGCAAAGTCCTGCCGCGTCTATGGGTAGAAAGCAGGACTAATGCACTGATTTCAAATGAGATGAAAACCAGGCTCCATAAATCCTGATCTCCAACCCCAGAGGCTAAAAACGGGGGGGGTTCGAAATTCTTTAGTGCTCACTCTGTGAAGTGATCTGGGGTAAGCATTTTTGCTTGGAAATGGGGGGAAAAAAAAGCCCTCTGGAGTTAATATTCTTCCTTTAGCCATCACTTCATTTTTTCAGCTTTCAGCATGAAGGTGGTGTTGCCAGCAAGACCACCTAGCCACAAACCCAGCAGGGAGCTTCCAAAATTCTTTTAAACACTGACTCCTTGTTATAAATTGAAAAGTGGTAATAGCAACAGTGCGTATCACATCTGTGCCAGGCTTCGGGCCTGGGAAGGAGCAGTCTCTCCCTACTGCTGAACACAACTTGGAAAGATCCTTTCAGTCCACACATGTATCAGCATTAGCCATTTCTTTGTCAACAAATCCCTTAATACGTACCCTTTCTATCATGTACAGATGTCCAAAAAATAATGGAATACTGTACTACAAGATTAAACACTTTAATGTCAGCATATGTGTTGCATGACTGAACAATGGTATCATTGTGCGTGTACAAACAGCGGGTTGAGGGAAGATGGGTTTAATTATCTCCGAAGCAGCAGCAAGTTCTTCCTGACTAAATCGAAATTCAGCTAGCAAGGACTGCTCAGGACAGAAATTGGTATTTCTTGAATAAAATGCCTGGGCCCTTTCTACTGTTCTTCCAGTGTTAGCGTTAGTGTCGTACCTGGCTCCGGCAGGGTTTTGGGGAGCCACGCGGAGCCACCTGCTTCCCTGGGAGCAAGGAACGCGGCGGGGTGACGAGAGGATGCTGCCATCACTGCATCTTCTGGCCCCGTGAGTCACCCAGGAGACTTTGAAGTTAAAATTCCTTAGGGTGGTAGATGGCACAGGGGAAACAATCATTGGGAGGGAAAGGACAGAGAGAAACGTGCGTGCTGCCTTCTGCACTTAGAGACGTTCCCCTGCCAGGGTTTCATCACAGGCACTTCAAGGCAGTGCTGGATGGTAAAACTATTTCTCCTTAAAAACCATCCATGAAATATCTGGGCAGGTTATACACAGGTAATCCATTTTCTTTTCCGAGTGTGCCCTGATCGGTACCTGCTCACGCTGGGGCTTCTCTGCTGAAATCGGAGCCAGACTAGATGAAAGGTATTGTGAAAAATTTACACGTGGGACTGCTCTGCGAACACGAAACTCTCCTAATAGTAAACAGACCGACCGTGGTGCGAATGCTGAGGCTGAGTTCGCAGTGTCTGTATGTGTATCTGGGGAAAGCAAAGTTAAATAAGCAGGGAAGAGTTGTGTTTCTTCAGAATACCTTATTCACAGCCTTAGCACGTGAAACACGGCAGCACATAATGCTGCAATCCATCTGCAGCTGCTGTAATGCACTTAGGATTGCTGCGGGATTTGGGGTGTGTGAGGGAATGGAGAAATGAGGGAGTGACAAGGGAAAGAAATAAATGGAAGTGAAGTTGTTCCTTTAGACAGACTCCCTATATTTCTAGCTTCACCTTCCAGAAATCCAATATAAGGAGATCTCCTGCAGGGCCTCCCTCATCAGCCTCTCAAGTCTTGTTGCTCTTCACCCCTTCACTGGGAAGGGGGAACCCAGTTCAGTGCTGACCTGGGGATTTGCCCCCAGCAGCCTTCCCTTTCCCTGCGCCTTGGGGGCAGCATTTTTCCAAAGAAACAGAGAGGCAAGCTGGGGACTGTGGTGATGCTGCAAAACGCCTCCTCGTATGTCCTCCCAACTGGCCAGCATTGTGGCCATCGCAAAATATCTCAAGCTCTCTCGTGTGGTCACTGGGAGCGGAGTTAACCAAGGCTGGTATTTGCCCTCGACAGCCTGCCCCGACAAATTGGGACTGTGGCTTCTCTCTGCGTATCTCAAAGATGGGGATGCACCTGGACAGCAGCTTGGGGCTGGGGACTCCTGCAGCTCCCAAAGCTCTTCTCTACACCCTCTTCTAGAAATGTCCCTGTAGTCAAACTGAGCAGTGAGCAAAATGACAGGCAGGAGCTCATCATTCCGCTGCCTGCTTTTCTTTGTCTGCACCGTAATGCATAGCATGAAATAATGCAGCCTAAGAGCTGCTGTCTGATACATCCCCTAACCCTAAATCCTCTGGGTGCAACTGTGGGAGGTATGTGAAGACACAGGAATATATTTTTCTTTTCCCTATTTGAACAGAGGTGACTGCTGCATTACACTGCTCGTTCTCTCTTCGTAATTCGGGGGACAGCAAGGCTGCTTTCTTGGGGCTGTGAAATCAGAGAGTTGCATCTGGTGAGGCTAACTTCACGGGGAAGCTGTGCCAGCGCTAGGTGTGAACTCCAAGTCACACATTCTGCCAGTGCATCCAAGGGTCAAGGAGATAGTGGCAGCCTGGGGAGGAGGGGGAGGAATCACGGATGAGGGTCGGGATGGTGGAGACCGAGGTGGCAGCCACGGCACAGAAAAAGGGTAGTACTGGTTCTAGAGAAGAAAGCAGGGTGATGGGTGTCTCGAGGGGGAGGAGGCTGCAGACACAAAGAGGGAGAAAAGTTAGTGACAGTACAGTTCATTGAGAAAAATAATCCCCCAGTCCAACCAGCAGACAAATGGGGCTCAAGGTGCTTCCTGCAACCTGCTCTGAGGCTGGAGGCCTCTCAAAAAATCACTGATGCAAAAACCAGCAGTCTGCCCTGTCTGCTTGTACACAAAGTGTTGAGCAAATGGAAACAAATCCCCAGGCCCAAGGAAGGAGAGACGAGTGGCTGAACAGATCTGGTCAGAAATAACATACATCCAGCCAGGGAAGCGAAGAGGCAGCATGAGAGGTTACTGCAGGGAAACCTAAAATGGGCTATTTGGGGTGAAATGCAAATTTTGGAATAAAAAGATCCAGGTCATTCTTGAAAGATTCCAGGTGTGAAACAATTCTTCAGCTTGGACCAAATTTCAGTTGAGGGGAAGGCAAGAAAGTTTCCCCGAAATGTTTTTCACCAGCTCTAACCTAGCCTCAGGTAAAGGAAGACAGCCCAGGAGTGAGTGGTAGTCTGGAAGGGTGCTCATCCTGGGAGGGTGAGGGCAGCAGCGCTGGAAGCCTCCCTGCTCCTCTGAGGGTGCCTGCTTGTCCCCCGATGTCTGTACAAGGGAAGGAAGCTGGGAGCCTGCAGCACAGGCACCTTGATCTGCAAGAAGGCATGTGCAGAGGACATGCAAAGAAAAAACAAATCGTGGTATCGTAACTCTTCTATGCAACGATCTGATCACACAGAGATGCGACGGCATCAAATTATGCTCTTGCATTCCAGTAACTACACTGGGGCAAACTGAGAAGGCTTCAAATGTATTTGATAAATTAGAAACCGTTCATAATAAACAGCCTGAGGCAGTAATCTTGGGAAGGTCACTGCCCAAGCATCCCTGATGTGTTTACACAAAACAGACCGAAATGGCTAAATGTACCACTAATGCCCTGGAGAGCGTGTTCATCCACATTTGCAAGGCTGGACTCCTCTGCCTTACACTGGGCCATTGAGAGAGGATATTGCCTGCTAACTTAGTTTCAATTTTTTTCCAAATCTTGCTTCCAGAGCATGAAGAACTTTATAAAAAGTTGTGCTTGTAAACCGATGCTTTTCAAGCTTATACGCTGCTAATTATCTTCCACTACATGATTTTTTCAAGTTGCCTTCTGTTCCTTATTACTATCGGTGTATTATTATATAGCATAAAGTTACTTAATACAGCAAAAGATTCAAGAACATTTGTAAAACTGATATAGAAAGAAGGACTGGATTCTGGACTGGTACAGCTGGTTTAAGGTATTTTAGAAGTAAATGAAATCAAATGAGAATTTATAATCCTTCCTGAGGTCTGGATTCCATCAGACTAAACTCATTAGGCATTAAGGTGCAGGTGCAGCTAAATAAAGAATTGTTCTGCTTTCCTTAATACCATAGATTCACATCTTGAGTTCAAAATAAAAGTCTTCTAAAAGCACATGTATATATTGTGCATCTACTGGCAACACTTGAAAGTTCATCTGATGGAATCTTCAAATGCCTCATTTTTGTCAAAAGGAATGTGCCCATTTCTGCGTCGGCTGTGCTAAGGGATACGAGTGGAGAAGTGACGGCACATTGGCCTCTTAAGGCTTAATCATTTCATTTGCATTAGACTTCCTTTCATCTACTGAACAGCTGCCCAAATAAATAGCATAAATCTAATTAAGCCTTCTTTAACACTGTATTGCCGCAACAATACTAGCATCCCCCAAATATTCCAGAGTGTCAGTCTACACCTGCACAAGGTCTCTGGGAGGAACACGGCGGGAGTTGCAGGCATGGAGAATCCAGCCTTTTTTGTGGTTTACTGTGATAAAAGGAAATAACTTAAGAACCAGTTTCCCAGGTTTGAAACCATATGACTTGCTGGATTTCTTAGCTGAAGCCCCAGATTCTGCTTTTCTTGAGAAAGTAGTTTGTGGGCTATTACAAAATAACCAGTCGATATCAGCTGTGCGGCCATCAGATAAGGATCTCAGCTTTTGATTGTAATCAGCAAAATCTCCACTTGGAATGTATACACTCCGAGCTGTGCTGTAAGACTGCAATTGGCTGCATCTTTTGAGCTTGTCCATGCAATAACAAACATCTGTGCCTTTCTTGGTCAGGCAAGTGCTGGGAGATTAGGGGGCAACCAACTATTCAGGGAAGAGGTCCATCTGCCCCGGAGGGGAAAGCCCTGCAAGAGCAGAGCTCTCCTCTTGCATCCATACTGCTACATCTACAGCAATGCTTTTCAGGTGTTCCGTATGTGGGAGGTCCGGTGATATTAACATGGTTAATGAACCAGGATTATTAGATAGAAATACGGTGTTTGGAGGGATGGGAGGAAACATTTTGGAAAGTAATGATGAGAGACCCTCAATTACGGCTTAAAAAGATACTCCAGAGTGCCCTCCCTCAGGAAAGTGGGACTCTGTGACCTATTTCACATTTTTCTTGAGGATCACCATGTTTCCTCTGTGCTGCCAAGATAGCTGAGATCAGGTGGGGTGCAGAGCACGGCCTCCCGGGTTCGAGCCACGGGAACCACAGAGGAGGTCATTGCCCGGAGCGACCCTCGCTGCCAGCCGCCGCACATCCACTCGCTGTCTTTTTGTCTCGTAGCTTATGCAGACGACCTTTTTGCTTTCTAGGAATGTTTGCTGCGCAGCAAGTTTATTTTTGTGCAGAAACAGGCAGAGGACTGTTTATTCTTTTGATAATTTGGTATATGGGCCTGAGGACTATGAATATTGAAGATCTGTAAACTGATGACACCCACGTATATTTTTGTTGGTAGATGTAAAATGCGTCTTAGAGTGATGGCAAGTTTAAACTATTATTTCAGAAATGTCCTCAGGAAGACACACACATATATATATATATATATGTATGTATCCAGAGTGTGCATGTGTGTGCATGTGTCCCCTTTCCACTTTAAATGTTGGTGGCCAACGCCCCAGGCATAACAGCAACTGAAGGTTAGAAGATTTATTTTCAGTTAAATTCCCACCCACGATCCCTATTATACAAGAGGAATTTTTTTTTTTTTTTTGGTACAAGATAAGCCCATCGGTGACATCAGCAGCACCTAGCCCTGCATACCACGCTGTGGATCGCAGGGCTGGATTCCTGACGCTGAGCCTCTCACTAGGGTTGGGTCAGCCAGGCCTCCTGAGTCAGCCCCTAACAACAGCATTTTCTGTTTTGTTTTGGGTTTTTTGTGTCTTCGAACACAATTTTGCAATTGCAGTTCTGGGGTAAAAGATCAGCT